CTGAACTCTGAGCCCACTGGCACCCTGTCCCCAGCTGCAGAAACCTGTCCCCTCTGGCACTCTGTCCCCTGCTGCAGAACCCTGTCTTCTGCCCTCCCAACACCCTGTTCCCTCTCTCCTGCTCCCAGCTGCAGAACTCTGTCCCCACAAAATGTATAATTATAAATGCTTAAATATCATGAATAAAAAACAGACCATTTATTTCATAACTATAAACACGTGATTTTAATTTTATATATCACAATTTAAAAATAAACTGTTTATCAGAGTGTGTAAGTAAGGGCTAGGGATAGCAAGTGATGGACAGGAGAAGAACAGAGAAGACAGGGCTTCAAGGAAAGGGCGGGGCGGTAGATCTTCACCTGTTCGCGCCTGTTCTGAGTGATCTTGGGTGTAAAAAGGTTGGAGACCACTGATGCAGATGGTATCATGAGCTTTAGCGGGCACAACCCACGTCTTCAGATGAATGTGAGCAAGTTACATCGCACACAGCGCCACCTAGTGACTAATAAAACACTTTGTTGTTTGCTAATTAATGGTTCTTATCTGCCCCCTGTATTCCCTATTGCTTTCCAGCTCCACTTTCCCTTGATATATTTTTTACCCGCTGTATTTTCTTGCTCTTCCCTCCCGAATTTTCCCTTCTTCCACTCCTGCTCCTGTCTCTCCCATTTATTTTGGTCCTAGACATCCAACACTCAGGTCATCTGAAGAAGTGGGCTGTGCCCACGAAAGCTCATGATCCCATCTACATGTTTTGTTAGTCTATAAAGTGCTACCAGACCATTTGTTTTTTCAGTTAATAAAACACAGTTTAGGATGGCATAGCTCAAACACACTGCACAAGACAAGAGTGCCATGAATAAAAAGCTGCCTAATAGGAACCATTGGTAGTGCTCAAGCTTTATTGGTCAATGCCAAAGACTGGCATATTATCTCATGAACTCCCACCGTGTGGCTAGCTCTTCTGCAGAGCAGTCTTTCAGCCTCGTGAAAGGTGAATGGAAGCCCAGCTCTGCCTCTGAAGCCCATTGAAAAGGAGCCTTTTGGTTTCATTTGGGATTTGGCTCAGCCCATGTATGAGTAACCAATTGAAGTCAATGGGGGTTGGGGACTTGCATTTTCTAGGAGCTGAGGAGTTTGTAGCTCATGTTGAGATCTGGGAAATCAGAAAGAGAGAAAGACATGGATTGGTTGGAAGGGGCAAAAGACAGACAGGAAGAACTGGCATCAGAGAGAAAACCCAGCTAGAAATTGACACACCTGTAAGATTTAAGAAGTGAATGAGAGGCAGAGGATAAAATGACAAAGGGAAAGAAAACTCCAGGAAGAAAAGTAAGCTGAGTTTTGGTTGTTGCTAATGGCACCTGATGTTTTAATTGAATTTCCCTGGACATTCGATTCGAGCCCTTGGCTGCCTCGAGCCTGAAAATCTTCAACTCCACTAGGACTGAAAAATTATTTTAAGTGGGCGCAAAAGTAAACAAGGCGCATTCACCAGCTAGTCACCTGTGGGCTTTGGCAAAGTTTACTGGATAGGTCAGCACATTCTCATTTGCAAATATGGCTCCCACCTGCCTTTCTGTGACACTCCAAGGGTCCAGCAGATGGATTAATATTTTCATGTGCAGCCCTTATCAAGGACAGATATGACCCAAATATAGCAGCTCTCTACTTCCATAGTACATTGAGCATGTTTCCCTTGGGGTTTACTGTATGGTAGACATTACATTCCCCCAAACCCCTCAGTAGAACCTCCCAGACCCTGACATATAGGTCTCCCTAAAATCATAGGGTGAAACCCCTGGCCTGCATGCTACAGGAGGACAGGCTGTACTATCAAAATAGCCCCTTCTGGCCTTTGAGTCTGAGAGGCTTCGTGCGGAATATTCTTACTAAAGCAAATTAACTCTACTCCTTGCTTCCAATGTTGAGGAAGAAAACAGGCAAGGGCTTGTTACTGCAGTGGGAAGTGGCAGTGTAAAAGCATAGCCTTTTACAGCATTGGCTGGACTAGTGATTGAGCAGAAATGACGTTGTGACATTCTGTACTGAATCGCTCAGCGAATGCTGATCAGATCTGTTCAGTTATAAATTTAAAAAAAAGGCAGAGGAGGGCAAATCCTGATCTTAGTGACAGTGATGTAAAGCCAAATCAAACTACTAATTTTAGTGACATTACTCCCAATTTACACCAATGTAACTAAGAGCAGAATTTGCCACAATTTCTTTCATGCTGGCAGCACAGAAACTGCCATCTATTCTTTCATCATTGCTGCTAATAAAGTTTTTGCGCCAGGACTCAGCTTACAACTCAAGGAACAGAATAGAGTTGGTACTTTGTACTCTTAGATGTTAAGCCCCAGCTAGCAGTCATTTTGCCAGTGCAAAGAGCGCTGTGATTATTTTAGCTCAACCAGCAATGAGTCTTTGGAATGCTTTGTGCTCAACACCCAGCATATTTCCTGCCGGATTGAAACTATTAGATAAGGGACGCAATTATGATTATTTTTAAAACAGATTTTGAAAGCATATGAACCCAAGCCAATCCCTTCTGCAAGTGCTTCTCCAGATCAGTTTTGTTGTTTGTTTACAGAGGCTTGTTGGGTTGTGGAGTGAGAGGCAAGTGTTTCTTTAGCAGGTGGCTTTGTTTAATTAGTCTCTGCAATACCCTGAAGGGAGAAATGATAATCCGGAGAGGTTTCCTTCCCCAGGCTTGGTGGGAGGAAGGGTTGGGTTGGGGAGAGAGAGGGAGAGAAGCTCTCCAAAGACAAGGCTGAAAACTAAAAATGATGATTGGATGAACAAACCCTAAACCACAGAAAGAAAGAGATGGAGGAGACATTCCCATTGAATCTTTGTTCTGTCCTTTGATCTTAATTCCTACTTCATTGCTGCCTCTGTCTCTTCTTCCATGTTCCTGAGGCTTTGCTGTTCACTTTCCTTCCTGCTACTGGATTTTAAATATTGTGTTTTCCCTTCACCATTATAAATTCCCAAGTAGCTGAAGGCTCCCTGGACTCATAAGCAAAGGCCACTCCATGACAGTTGTACCCTAGAATCCCTCTTGCAGTGCCCCTGTAGATTCAGCTTCATCTTCTCAGCCCAGCGTTACCATACTGAGGAGTTTCTGCATGAGAGGGGCTAAGCGGGCATCATCTGGAGTCCCTGCAGATTCAGAGGTGTTTCGATTTGGGGCTTTGCTTTAGGCGCACATCTGCTTTTTGCCTTCTGCTCTAATTGTTGTCAGTGGTGATGCAATGGCAAGGACGTAGCTAATGATAAGCTAGCATGACAATAATAACCAGTTGGCACATCAGTCATGCCAAGTAAGTGCCCCTGTCTCCTGGGAAGCCCTCTGCTCTCCCTGTCCCCTTCCTATGTACTGATTCACTCAGAAATTGCCCAGCTTACATGTCAACACACTGTCTAAGATGTTCCAGCTGTGTCAGGACTTATGTTTTAACTCCCCAAGTGTTTTCCAGTTAGCCAATATTGCCAGAGACTAAACCTTCAGCTCTGTGTCCCATGAAAGCCTGCCAGTATCTTTAGCTGGGGTGGGGGTGTGGAGGGGCTTGAAACTAATAAGAAGTTATTTGTTTATTGTAAACACTCAGGGAGCCAGTATAGCAGCACTCCTTACTCCCCTCTGAATGAGGATCCTGGAGTCCCACCTGCCCTGCAATTAATTAAAAGAACAGAATTCACACAAAGGACATTCCTTTTGCGCAGGATGGGTTGATGTCACAGTTTCAGGACCAGGTACATGGACAGCTTAGAAGCTTCTGCGAGTGGCTACGATTCAGGATTTGCTTACTTGGCAAACTGGCCATTGAGAGCAGCTCACCAGGACAGAGAAGTTGGGCACTTTGAAATAAAAGCTGTATAGAGACTCTTCTATACAGCTGAGCTCTTGCCCTGCTTCAAGAGGGGCAAAGAAAGGAAATAAAGGGATAGGATATGCACCAGGGAGCTCTTTCTGCTCCACGAGGACAGATTTAAAGCCAGTTTTTGTTTTCAGGCATCTCTGAGCTCAAATGGATCAAAGCTGTCAAAATTTCACTTGCCATCTAGTTTTGAAGCCAACAGCTGACTGAAAAGACATGACACCTCTAAACCTTCATCTATGGAATGGTGCTAGCTGTCTTGCTCGCAGAGAGCTCATGCCATCCTAGCATACTCCTTCCTCCTCAGGCATCTGCTTAACTTCGTTTGCTGCCAACGTAACTACCGTATCTACATTCCATTTCTCAAGCTACCTCACAGAGGATAAAAGCTAGATTAGTGACTAAAGGGCTGGACTCTTCAGAGATTTCAGACCAGGATCAAAATTCAACCTAGTTGCAACCCAGTACCATGCTACTGACTTCAGCTATGTTATTCTGTGCTTCTCCTGGGTTTAATTTCACAATTGTCACTTTTATTCTGCATCAGAACTGGACTGTGCTGATTGTCAAACACTACCAGCAGAAGGAGGATTACTGGACTACCCGACCTACGACACAGAACAGTATCACAAGGGAATGGAGATAACACTGGGTGAGTCCAGAGAGAAAACTATTAGGGTAACAAAACAAAACACTAGCCAGCTCTGCATTTACAAAGACAGATATTAGTTAACCATGTCTCCCACAAGTGCACAGCCTTGTAGCTTAGGTGTTGGAAGCAATGTCACACCAGAGCAGATGGGCCATGAGACTCGTGTACAATATTGAGTACCAAGGTCTCCTAGCTGGGGCGGTGTCCACTGAAAAGTTTTCTAACAATTAATAATGATAAAAAGCCCCTTAAAACGTGCAGTTAGGAAAAGTTTTTTTACAATAGTCCCAATAGTAAAATACACATTTCCAAAGCCCAAATGCACACCAAGCTGGGTCTAACAATAGCACCCAGGAATGGGTTATCATCAGCTATTGAAGGGTTGATTTTTAAAAAAAAAAACCCTCCTAAAAGTATCTGAGAATTAAAAAAAAAGTTCTGTGGATGGGGTTCTTACTGACCATCAGAATCGTAATGTTTCCAGATGTCCAGGAACTGGGATGCTGTGAGCTCAGCCAAGTGCAGGTAAGGGGCTTGCTGCTTCACCGCCATGGTCAGCTGCCAAGGCAACCCTCTGTGCTGTTCTGTCTCCTCTCTTCAGTGCTGCGATCTCGCCAATATCTCTAGCCTGTCTCTCTGCTCTGCCTTTATATAAACCTTCCTGAGCTGGCACAGGGTCCTGGCAGCCACTAGAGGGTGCACAGACTCTGAGAAGCCAATATACTATAGACAAAGGAGGGGAATGCAAGAGAGAAATGGGGAGAAATTGGGAGGTGTGGGGCATAGAAAGGGAATGCAAGAGAGAAATTGGGAGGTGTGGGGCATAGAAGGGTGATAAGTTGAAGGGAAGATCAGTGTTTCCAGGGTTTCACAAACATCCGGGAGTTTCTGCATAGCAGGAGCTAACAGATCTAGATAAAAAGGTTATTGTCTGTATCACAGCCTGCTAGCCGTAACATGGTGAATCCCTATTGCAAGGGGTGCTTTGGGCTCCAAAGAGAACTGGTGGGCTTGCAGTACATAGCTCAGGAGTGAGAGCACTGGTCTTGTAAACAGGCCAGTTGAACCTACTGCAAAGGAGTCCAGAGCAAACTGGGCTAAACGCGAAGAATGTCAAGACTGTTCTAGGTTGTGGCTCCCATGTCCAGAGATGGGACTTGGTTAAGAGAATTCAGGGCTGTTGTGTCTTAGCCCAGCTTTGTAGTAATAGTTATCCCGAGGGCTGATCAGTGGTCACCAGATGGGGAGGTCTCTGGCAGAGCTCCACTACCCCTCGCTGGTGCTTGTCGGCCCCTTTATTGTTAACCTCAGCAGAGAAACAAAGGCCTGGGAAGGTGAGGCAGACTTAAGTCCCCCCTCATCCTCCTGAGGAGCTCTGGCTTGCTGCCTCCTAGCCCATCCTTCCTCAGTGAATGTCGCTGCGTACCTTATAGCAAGCAGCTCAGAGAGGATAAAAGCTCTAGCCTGCTGCACCCAACAGAGAATCCCTTTTGACTGACGTGGTAGGGATGTATCTTCGCGGAGCCAGAGCCAACAGGAATTGCTTAGCTAGCTGTTTCAGAACGTATTAGTCGTCTTCATTACAAACCAGTCCTTCTAGAGCACAGGTCAGGGGAAGATACCTCCAGGATCTTGATGTGCCTGCTCACTGGAGAGGGACGCAGGTCCCTAAGGCTGTCAGTCCAGCACCTGGCACAGGCATTGGTAATTAAAAGAGACTCAAACTGCCCTAGCTTCTGTGCTGTGCAACAAAAGACATTCTAAGGGCTCCTGCAGGGGACCAGAGACAGATGATGGTTAATACCATGAGGCTATATTTACACTGCAATGATCTATCGGGAAAAGGAATGCAAATCGCACTCCACAATTTGCGTACCTTTTTCTGATAGCTTTTTTTGGAAGAGGCTTTTCTGAAATTTGACCTGTCTACACTGGGCCAAGTTTCGGAAAAGCCTCCTCTTTCGGAAGAGTCCTTCTTCCTCGTGGAAGGAGGAAGACAGGGCTTCCGAAAGAGCATGTCTACTCTTCCGCAAAATAAAAGTGGATACCTCTGGTATCCCGGAAAACCTCCTACTCTTCCGCAAAATAAAGTGGATACCTCTGCTATCCCAGAAAACCTCCGTTGTATAGACATAGCCGATCCACACTGTGCAGGCCAGGCCATGCTAGACCAGGCCGGCACCGGGGATTTATCTTCATTCCAGGCCCTGCCCATACAAGGATCTTGCTGTAACAAACCAAACGTGCATGCTTTGGGAAATAGCATTGTGTTGATGTGGTACCCAGGCTCTTTGTTCTCTTGCTCTCTGATCCAGTAGGAGGTGGAAGCATGTGGCCACATTACTATGGTGGTCTGCTAGAGAAGACCATGCCACGTTAACTGAGCTCTAAATAATATCACCTAGCTCTTCAGCCAGCCATAGATCTCAAAGCTAGTAAGGAGAGGTACATCATTATCCTCATTTGACAGAGGGAGGAAAATGAGGCACACATCAAGCAAGTGACTTGGCTCAGATCAACCAGCAGGCCGGTGGTAGAATCAAGAATAATCTTAGACCACACACACTTTCCAATCAGATTGCAGGCTCTTTGGTACAGGTACTGTATCCACTGCTGGGGGGCAGGGGAGAAGGGGCAGCGAGGCACCTGGCTCAGTGGGGCCTGATCCTGATCATGGCCTCTGAAGGTTGCCTACCATAACAATTAAGAAACAATAGTCCTTTCAGCCTGCCAGTGCCTGCATTCACACCGTGAAGCATTGTGAGGCCCTGCAGTGAGCAGAGATGGCCACTCACTGACCCCCAAGGAGGGAGAACCCCTCTGAGCCCGGATGGGCTAAGCTGGAGCCTGCCCCTTTAAGTCCACAACAGCCTGGGGGAGGGGCAGGAAGTATAAAAGCCAGGTCCAGAAGTTCAGAAGGGACCTGGCTTTTGGAGGGAGCAGAGGCCAACCCTGAGGAGCCGCCGGGGGTGGACGACTGGCCTGGAGGAGGAGGAGACCCTTTTCGCCCTACATCTAGACTGGGACCATACAGACCCTGGGAACCCACCCCGACCAGGGGAACAGATACAACCAGAGAGAGAGTCTACAAGTGGCCCAGGGGAAGCAACGGATGATCAGGTGGATCTGATCACCCTTTAAGCTGGGTCAGCAGGCTTCAGTGTGGATCCCTTGCTGACCCCAGTGGCTGTGAGGCTGCCACTGCTAGGGCCCTGGTCCGGGACGTGGTGGAGCAGGGAGGACCCACGTCTTCCCCCTTTCCACTTGTGCTGCAGAAACTGTTTGTCTGCCCCATCCTGAACCAGGGCCCCGGGCTGCCACTGGACTGCAGAAACCATTTGCTTGCCTGCCTGACCCTGAACTGGGGCCAGGGTTGCAGGAAAAAAAAAAAAAAAAAAAGGTTACTTAGCTTGTAACTGTTGTTCTTTGAGATGTGCTGCTCATGTCCATTCCAGTTAGGTTAGGTTCACACGCTGCGTGCATGGACTCTGGAGCACTTTCCCTTAGCAGTACCAATTGGGCCAGCCGGCGAGCCCCCGAGAGTGGCACTGGTATGCTCATGCATATATACCCCTGCTGGCCCTCCGCCCCCTCAGTTCCTTCTTGCCAGATACCACCAATGCGGGGAGACAAGTGGGATGTGGAATGGACATGAGCAACACATCTCAGAATCACAGAACACTAGGACTGGAAGGGACCTCAAGAGGTCATCGAGTCCAGCCCCCCGCCCTCAAGGCAGGACCAAGCTCCGTCTACACCATCCCTGACAGATGTCTATCTAACCTGTTCTTAAATATCTCCAGAGAGGGAGATTCCACCACCTCCCTTGGCAATTTATTCCAATATTTGACCACCCTGACAGTTAGGAATGTTTTCCTAATGTCCAATCTAAACCTCCCCTGCTGCACTTTAAGCCCATTACTCCATGTCCTGTCCTCAGAAACCAAGAGGAACAAATTTTCGCCTTCCTCCTTGTGACACCCTTTTAGATATTTGAAAACCACTATCATGTCCCCCCTTAATCTTCTTTTTTCCAAACTAAACAAGCCCAGTTCATGAAGCCTGGCTTCATAGGCTTCTCTAGACCTTTAATCATTCTTGTCACTCTTCTCTGTACCCTTTCCAATTTCTCCACATCTTTCTTGAAATGTGGCGCCCAGAACTGGACACAGTACTCCAGCTGAGGCCTAACTAGTGCAGAATAGAGCGGCAGAATGACTTCACGAGTTTTGCTTACAACACACCTGTTGATACAACCTAGAATCATATTTGCTTTTTTGGCAACAGCATCACACTGTTGACTCATATTCAACTTGTGGTCCACTATGACCCCTAGATCCCTTTCCGCCATGCTCCTTCCTAGACAGTCGCTTCCCATCTTGTATGTATGGAACTGATTGTTCCTTCCTAAGTGGAGCACTCTGCATTTCTCCTTATTAAACCTCATCCTGTTTACCTCTGACCATTTCTCTAACTTGCTAAGGTCATTTTGAATTATGTCCCTATCCTCCAAAGAAGTTGCAACCCCACCCAGTTTGGTATCATCTGCAAACTTAATAAGAGTACTCTCTATCCCAATATCTACATCATTGATGAAGATATTGAACAGTACGGGTCCCAAAACAGACCCTTGAGGAACTCCACTTGTTATCCCTTTCCAGCAGGATTTAGAACCGTTAACAACAACTCTCTGACTACGGTTATCCAGCCAATTATGCACCCACCTTATCGTGGCCCTATCTAAGTTATATTTGCCTAGTTTATCAATAAGAATATCATGCGAGACCGTATCAAATGCCTTACTAAAGTCTAGGTATATGACATCCACCGCTTCTCCCTTATCCACAAGGCTCGTTATCCTATCAAAGAAAGCTATCAGATTAGTTTGGCATGACTTGTTCTTCACAAACCCATGCTGATCAGGAGTGGGGTCGGACCTAAACTGTGATAGACTGCAACACGGCTCTACCTACTGCCGCATCATCCCTAGCCTGCTGGGCAATAGTATAGTGAGCTGTAAGAGTATGAATGGAGGACCACGGAGCTGCTCTGCAAATGTCTATAATAGGGACATGTGCCACAATGGCGGTTGATGAGGTCTGGGCCCTTGTGGAATGGGCTGTACGTGGCGGCAGCTCTCGCCACAGGCTCTAATGCAGGAGGTAATCCATTTGGACAGGCACTGTGCTGACACAGACAGGCCCTTCATTCTTTCTGCTATAGAAATAAAGAGCTGTGGAGACTTCCTGAACTGTCTTGTCCTGTCAATATAAAATGCTAGTGCCCTCCTCACATCTAAGGAGATTAGACACTGCTCCCTTGGGGTTGTATGTGGTTTGGGATAGAAGACTGGGAGATGGATGTCCTGTGACATGTGAAAATATGCGACCACCGTGGGAAGGAATGATGGATGAGGTCTAAGTCTAACCCTGTTCTTAAAAAAAAAAAAAAAAGTACAAGAGGGCCCAGAGGTGAGGGCCCTAAGTTGAGATACCCTCCTGGCTGATGCGATGGCCACTAAATACCACCTTCCATGATAAGTGCTTCAAGGAGCAGGTAGCTATGGGTTCGAAAGGCAGGCTCATGAGCCTTGTGAGGACCAAGTTAAGGTCCCACGTGGGTATTGGTTGTCT